GCAGCACACCTGTTAGCCACACCCCCTTACACACCGCAGCACACCTTGATCAGTGTGGAACGTGGAACCTGCTGCTGCCTCCAAGTTCTTCTGGTGTAACTCGTGTTCAGCCAACAGCTGTGCTGCTTGTAACGCAGGTTTGATGTTGTCGAGCAGGTCGGTTTCTGGGAATGACAGTTCCGGTCATCAGCAACATCCACATGATGGAGGACGGAAACACGTTTGAGAAGGACGTGGAGACGGCGTTCTACCTTCCTGCTGAGTTCCAGAACAACCCGCCCCAGACCTTCGACTCCGATATCACCATCGTCTACAGGGAGCCAATCAGAGTCGTCGCCAGGTCAGAACGCCGTCATAGTTTCACTTTTTGATCTCAGTTTGTTTTCGAGCAGATTGAAGGCAGACGTTTGAGAACATTGAGGAATAATCGTGAAACAGCAGCAGCTCCGGTTCTGATCAGTATTGATGATTATAATGATGGCAATGTGTCTGACTGGAGTATGTGCTGCTCTGATTGGTTGTCAGGACGTTCTTCGGGACGACCAATGAGGAGACGGTGAGCCGTCAGATCCGCCTGCTGTGGGAGATCCTTGGTCTCCGTGACGATCTGCGCAGTGACCGCTACGTTGTCGCTGCTTACGAGAACCCCGGCGTGCCGCGACGCCGGAACGAGATCTGGTTCATCCGACGCGACCTGTAGACTCCTCCCATCATGCTCTGCTGCACCGCCTCCGCCTCTGATTAGCTTGTTGGTTCTGTCCACTCTCATGCTTCCCACAGCTTTGACCAATCGGATCAGGTTTATGTTTGTTAGCAAGTGACACTAAACCCCACCCCCTCCCATTGGCTGATTAGCTGTGATGTGTGACAGAGGGACGTCCTGATTGGTTAGGTTTCATGATTAATCTGATCAGTCAGTCTGAGCTGTTCCCTGTTTCCACGCTTTATGCTAAGCTAACAGCTAACTGTACAGTGATTAACTCTGCACACGTCATGTTGCTGTGAGGATGAAAAACTGGCTGTACAGCAGCTCAACATTTATTTACCAACGTTTCCTGTTGGATCTTCAATGGCAGGAGGCTCATTTAAGAAACATACTGAAGGCCCCGCCCATGTCTATGGGCCAATTACTGGAGGCCCCGCCCATATACACGACACATACTGAAGGCCCTGCCCATTTGTTATGACACTCGAGGCTCCGCCCATTTATCCGTGACAAATACTGGCGGCTCCGCCTATTTACACAACAAGCAGCTGATCCAACAGAAACTCTGTGAATAAATGTTGAACTGCTCCTTTAAATGAGTTTGCTGGTGGTGCAAAACACTTAGTTTTATTATCAGCATGTTTTTGAATACGATGGCTGATCAGAAAGTTCAGAGACTGCGTTTATACAGAAATGAAACGCTGATATTAGGCCTCCGTCGCTGCTGAAGTGCGTCTGTGCAGAGCTGCTCTGCTCCCTGAGCTCCTGCAACACTTTAACCAAGTCCTGTTCTAACATGTCGGCTCCGAACAGAAACACCTCTACTGGAAATTAGTATTGCAGAAGACGTGACAGGGAGACAGAACTGGAGCCTGTGGGTCCACAGGCAGCACTGAGCATGTGCACACTTTATAGACCTACTGCACATGTGCAGAAGAGATGGATGGTCTTTGTTTCAGACTCCACACCTGTCTCGAGCTTTAAGTCTTTGTGAAATCATCCTGTCAGAATTCCCCAACCAATAGGAAGCCAGCGATGAGGCTGACCAATGAAACTGTAGCTGATTAATATTCATGTCATTCTGCTGCGGTCGCCGTAGTAACTGAATGTTTTGCTTCCCTGCTCCGTCCTCTTTCCTCCGTTATCGTATTCAATAATCAGATACACGACGATTCTCTCTGAAACATGCTGAGGTTAATTGGTGATTGTAAATTGTCCGTAGGTGTGAATGTGAGTGTGCTTGGTTGTCTGTCTCTAAGTGTAGCCCTGTGATAGACTGGTTACCTGTCCAGGTGAACCTGCCTTCACCCTGAGTCAGCTGGGATAGGCTCCGCCCCCCACCACCCTAGTGAGGATTAAGGTGTCGAGATGATGGATGGATGGATGTTTGGCTTTCAAGGGTTAACCAGTAGTGTCAACACTGTTGCTAGGCAACAAACAACATGGCCACCGCTGTGTTTCTGTTTTTCTGTCCCTCTCATGGTACATAAATAAAACAACCCTGAAGCTGTTTGTTGGTACGATGAGCAGAAACAGAAACTTCAGCTGACATTAAACTGGATTGAAGGTTCTGTTTCATCAGAACTCGTTTCTGTTCACGACCCGATACGTAAAAACCTCCAGTTCTCTGCAGTTGGCGTCCCATTCAGAAACATGTTGCCTAGCAACAGTGTTGGCATTGCAGCTGAACCCCTAAAAGCCAAACGTGCTGAAGTTTATCAGGTAACTGAAGGATCAGCTGCTGAAACTCCAGACGTACAGGAGCCGCCCAGCAGGGGGCGCTGTGATGAATGAAATGGTCATGATGACATCTGGCGTCCTGTTGGCTGACGACTAGCGACAAGTGAGCGTAATGAGGACCTGACAGGTGTTTCTGAATCACCGACAGTCGGAACTTTCTGATCGCAGCTCGTGTTCGGCGTAAATCCAACGATGACCAAACAGCTTTGTGACTTTTGCCTGAATCTGATGTTTCCGCTGTAAAACCGTTTATACCGTCTGTTCTTTTTCTGTAAAAATATTAAATCTGGTTCACAGTTTGAAGGTAAAGTGTGTGAAAATTAAATGACTTCCTGTGAATGTCGGTGTCAGGCTCAGACACAGTTTGTTTTTATATTTCTAGTTCTTCCTTTATGATGGTACTGGTTCTGTCCCCACAGCCGGTGTTCATGGATCTGTATCGTTCTGTTTCTAGTAAAACTTTAGCACGATAAAATCCAGCTTCACCAACTTCTGTTGCACGTGTAGGTTAAAATAAAACAAAGTGGACGTGGAACCAAAACTTTATTTACAAAAGCAGACGGACTCTTACAGTTGTTTCACCTCAACGGTCAAATAAAAACAAAAACCTCAAACTATTATAAAACAAAGAAACACCAGGAAGAAAAGGGGCGGGGCTCCGCTGTGATGTCATCCAGGTTAGATCAGATCAGCCACTGAGGAGAGAGAGAGAACAGACTTCAGTATGGAATCAGCCAATCACAGCTGGAAGAAACAGGCTAACAGAAGCTATGCTAACACATCCAGTGTTTCCATGGTAACAGTGTCACGTCGGAACTCTGCGATTGGCTGTACCGTTCATGGGCATCTCGTCGATCTGGGTGGAGTAGTACTGCTCGATGTCCCGCAGGATCCGGATGTCGTCGTTCTTCACAAAGTTGATGGCGACGCCTTTACGACCGTAGCGACCGGACCGGCCGATCCTACAGGAGGGCAGAGGTCATGAGAGACGATTCCAACAGCCGAAGACGTGACTTTCATACTGTCATTCATTCATTCATCGGCCTGCAGCAGCGTCCACCACCGCTGACCCTGACCCACCATCACTGAGCACCTGAGTCTGTCTGGAACCACAACAACTCAACAACAACGTTACAGAACGTCTGAACAGCGTTCAGTTATGTTCAATCAGAAAACAGTACATCTGTTCATTTCAGAAATCATCAGATGAAAGTTCAGAAAGTTTACAAAACACGATCACTGATGAAATGTCAGAATCTGAACGGTCGGAAACAGTGAACCCAAACTCTGGTAGAGTCTGTTCTGAGAAACACGACGTTCTGTTGGACTCGTCAGCTCTCTGCGGCACTGATCCAGTCTGGATGTCACGTTGAAGTGCTGCTGCAGTGCCCCCTACCTGTGGATGTAGAGTTCTCTGTTGTTGGGAAGGTCGTAGTTGATGATGAGGGAAACCTGAGGAACGTCCAGACCGCGGGCCCAGACATCCGTTGAAATCAGAACACGACTGAAACAGAAACACCAGATGGTTCTGATCAAACCCTGTGACAGTGACGGTTGGTGATGTTTACCGGACCGGCCCTGACTCCACGTCTCACCTGGCTCCTGATCTGAACTCCTTCATGATGGACTCCCTCTCCTTCTGAGGCATGTCTCCGTGCATGGAGGACACCGTGAAGTTGGCCTCCCTCATCTTCTCGGTCAGCCAGTCCACCTGAAACAGGACACACACTCAGACTACAGCTCCCACAAGGCCGTGCTGCTGCTGCTGCTGCGTTCTAATGTGTGCCACTCCTGGTGGGTCGGTAGGAATGAGTTCTGTACTGATGCAGGACATGGTTCTGCTCTTGTCACCCTCTGGACTCACAGCAGGTTCTGGTCTGTTCTGTCTCATTTGTCATGATTTCTCTAACCAGAACCAACATGTCTCCAGATGCTAAACCCTGGAGCTCCTCGTCCTGCAGATGTGGAACCAGCTCCACGTCTCCACACTTCTCCTCTCTGCTCATCACATGTTCCACCATGCTGGACGGACCTCCAGCACCTGGCTCCTGGTCTCTGGTTCTGATTCTGCTGATTACTCATTTATGTTTTGAGACCTACAATAAAGTGACTTTAACAAAACGTTGTGATTTGAGGCTCAAGTTGGTTTGTTTCTGTTTTCAGTTTCTCAGCAGGTTGTAGGGTTCAGACGGTCCACGGGTCCGTTGGTTCTGTATGTGTCCAAACCGACGCTGAGTCGACATGTTTATATCGATACAGACACAAGAGACGACGTGTGTAAATCAGTGTGTGTGTGTCAGTGTGTGTGTGTGTTATCAGGGTGTGTGTGTCGGGGTGCGTGCCCACCTTCCTCTTGGTGTTGCAGAAGATCACGGCCTGGGTGATGGTCAGAGTGTCGTACAGGTCACACAGGGTGTCGAACTTCCACTCCTCTCTCTCCACGGCCACGAAGAACTGCTTGATGCCCTCCAGAGTGAGTTCATCGCTGAGGGCCAAACACAGCAGACACCAATGAATCAGTGTTCTCTGGATGTTCTCTGGAACGTTCTCTGGACGTTCTGGCTCACTGACCGTTTGACCAGGATGCGGATCGGGTCGGTCATGAACTTGTTGGTCATCTCCAGGATCTCGTGCGGCAGCGTGGCGCTGATCAGAACCACCTGCGTGGCCGGCGGCAGGTAGCGGTACACGTCGTAGATCTGCTCCTTGAAACCTGACAAACAAACAGTGTTCACATTATTCTGTCCATGGCCCAGCGGCACCACCTCTACCGTGACATCACACTCGCACATGCTCAGTCTCACCCTTGTTGAGCATCTCGTCGGCCTCGTCCAGAACCAGCATCTTGATGGCTCTGGTTCTCAGGCTCCGGCGGCGGATCATGTCTGCAGGAAGAGACAGAGGTCAGCTTCCTATTGGCTGTGGCAGCCAGAGGCAGCAGGTCATGTGATTCACCTGGAGTCGACGGCCAATCAGACAGAACAAGCGGCCTGCTGATGTCACACCAGGTGGAGTGCTAACGGCTTTAGATTCTGAACAGACGATATCAAATCAGGTTTAAATGAAGTGATGCTGGTCAATGTGTGGTCTGGAGGAGTTCTACGGTTTCATCCTGGTTCTGCTGACAACAGAACCATCTGGAGATGAGCAGCTCCAGATCAAAGCTCCTGCTGCTGTTGTCTGATATTAAACCACAGTCGTGTTCTGGACTAAACCTGTAGCAGCAACGGGAGTCCGAACATCGACCTCCTGACGTCGACGACGACGTCGTCAAAAAGACACGTTTGTTGTCAGAAAAATGTTTGGATTAAAAACATGGAAGCGACCAATCACAGCGGCCGTACGACTCACCGAACACGCGGCCCGGCGTCCCGGCCACCACGTGCTGACCATAGTCCAGCTTGCGGATGTCTTCGCCCACGTTGGTCCCTCCAATGCAGGCGTGACACTGAACGTTCATGTAGTCTCCCAAAGCCAGCAGCACCTGCACAGGAAGGAGAGAGCCAATCAGAGACCGCGACATGACGCCTCAGTGTGCTTGCTCACAGGCGATTGGCCAGGAGTCATGTCAGGGGCGGAGCTACCTTCTGAATCTGTCCAGCCAGCTCTCTGGTCGGAGCGAGGATCAGAGCCTGGGTCTCCCTCACCTGCAGACAGGAAACACATCACAGCACGACGTCATCAGCTTCCTGTAACACTGTGGAGACCAGCAGAGAGCATCATGGGAGTTCAGCAGCATCAGCACCACGGCAGAGACTCTGAGGAGGTTCTGACCTCCAACCAGAGCTCAGGCGTCTGATCTAGTGAGTAACGATCCGACTGCTGGTGGAGGAGGTCGGCTGCTGGTCAACAAACACGTCATCAGATTGTTTCTGGAGGAGTGTTGAGTCAGAAGCAGATACAGGTCTAGCCTGCTGGAGACTCCCAAGATGCACTGGGCTCCTCTCTACACAGCTGCACGCCAACATCACGTCTCTGACCTGCTGGTTCTGAACCCAACCTGATCCTGAACTTGTGGTAACTCATCAAAACGTCTCATTTCAACATCCTGCAAAAATAAACCATTTGATTTAACAAGATCCTGGAGAACCAGAACCTCCCTCCTCCTGGTTCTGACCCAGTAGAACCAGAGCCTTGCGAACCAGCAGCAGCACGTACCTGGATGTCCAAACACTGCAGCACCGACACACAGAAGGTGGCCGTCTTTCCTGTTCCAGACTGAGACCTGAACACAGCACAGACCACCGGTTAGAGAGGCTCAGAACCAGAACATCAGCAGAACATCAGCAGAACTTCTTACTGTGCGATCACGTCTCTGCCTTTGATGATCTGCTTGATGGCTCTCTGCTGGATCGCCGACGGCTTCTCAAACCCTGAAACACACAAACATCAACACCATGTGGACTCCATGTACCGGACCAGTCCATCAGCTGTTTGGGTTCTAACAGGAGAAACGTGGATCAGAGTTTCCTCAAATGTCTTGTTTTGACCAAAGTTCTGAAGTTTACGGAGAAGCTGCTGGAGCTGAGGAACCACCAGAACTCTGTTGTTTTTTCAGTTTATTGTTCCTCAGAAACAAGCTGACATTCAGAGAAACTAGTTCCACCATGAAAGCCCGGATCGATAGAAGCAGCAGCAGATAATCAATGATCGATCTGTTTCTTGTTCCGTCACTGAACTGCAGTTGTTTAAAAAAATCAATCTTCTGTGTTGAAGTTAAACAAACTGAGGCCATCAATGTGTGTTTATTACAGGCCTCGACATAATCAATCAGTTAACAGCCGATAACTGATCGATCACCTTTAATCACAGTTATTCGAACAGAAACACTTCTTTCTGACTGAATAGAGCACCACTCCGAACCAGCGGGTCTGAGCTCCTTAACCACACATGGTTCCGGTTCTCCGGTAAACTCTTCGGTACCTGCTGGCCGCTAGCTGCTGTAGGTTAACGGATCAAAACTAAGCCAGATTCCGGTCTCATTACGTCAGATTTGTGTCCACAAGTGTGAAGCTGCTCAGCGGCAAACTGCGCTTAGCATTAGCAGCATTAGCATTAGTAGCTAATGCTAACCGCGGAGTGAACGGATGAAGGATTCAACAGTTAACACGATCTACAGACGCGCTCTGGCACTTTAATAAAACTCTGTCTGTGTCCTGTTCTTTTATTTAGATTTTCTCAAGACACTGCAGTTAGCTCCTGCAGCCTGAGCTAACGTTCCCCCAGGAGGCCGCGTAAATCCCCGGCCTACCGTAGGCGTAGATGCCGCGGAGCAGGTCCTCCCGGAGCCCCATGGTGTCGAAGGTGGGGGTGACGTCCACCTCCTCGCTGGTTTCAAACTCCACCTTGGTCATGTCCTCCTCCTTCAAGAGCCTCTTCCTGCCCTGCGTCCCGGCAGCAGCCATCGTTCTCGGAGCTTTATTTCGGCTGAGACTCAGAGAATCCGGTAAAATCGTCACGGAGCTCCGCGGCTGCTCGGCTAACTGCTAACAGAGAAAGAGCGCCACGCGTGTCGCGCAGATGACGTAGTTTCTCTGCTGTGATTGGCTGCTGACAAACCTGCTGAACGGTGCGTCACTGCCCCCTGCTGGCCCGCAGGAGGAACAGTAACGCTGCGGACTGTTTCCCATCATGCAGCTCCCGCCGCACCGAGCTGAGCTTCAGTCGAACCTCTATAAAAGGCAAATACACTGAAAAGGAACTCATTAAATGGACATGTGTTCGTTAAACAATAATCAGTAATTAGTTGAATGCCCAGCTCAGGGCTCTGTGTGTCTCCGTCTGGGTCGGAGCAGAACCAAAGCAGATCCCCAAACATCTCCACAAACACCTTCGGTCCTAAAGTGTTTTATTGATCGCTAATTGATCGTTTCAGAAGAAACAATCACATCACAGCCACACTGAACACACACACGGGGAGACATGAACACGGAGGTCCAACGGCTGACAGAAGTTCTAACCAGAACCAGCTCCAAGTCTCTCAGCTTTTATTTCACAAAATAAACAGGTTTTATTTCCTAAAGTAGAAACAGCTTCACGCTGACTTCACACCAGATCAAACGGGCTCTCTGCCTGGACTTCTAACAATAAAAACTGCTAACTGGCCCAACAGGAGTCTGAACCGAGCCGCGGGTCATCCTCCAGGACACCGACTCAGCTCACATCTAAACAGGAAGCTGTGTGTCTGCAGCTCGTTACACGTGGATGTTTAGCTTGTCTTTGCTGAAGCTCCTCACAGGTTCTGTTCAGTTTGACCAGACGTTCAGAACACATCCAGATGTTGGTCCATCTGCTCCACACTGACGCTGGTGCTGGTCTGGGTTCTTCCTTCTCTGACAGTAAACTGAACATCTTTGGACTAAACAAGACATTTGAGGAACTCTGATCCACAGTTTAGAGACCGAACCGCCGATGGGTCGATGCAGCAGATGATCCAGCGAGTGGACGACGTCCTGGTGGTTCTGAGCAGCAGAACACGAGGCTGCTGCTGCTGAGCTGCAACTGTGACCCACTCTGAGGAACACGACACCGACCCAGCAGGAAAGTTCTGGAACCGACACTTTGGCACTTTTTAAAAACCTTATACACACACACACACACTCTCTCTCTCACACACACACACTCTCTCTCTCACACACACACACTCTCTCACACACACACACACACTCTCTCACACACACACACACTCTCTCTCTCACACTCACACACACACACACTCTCTCTCTCACACACACTCTCTCACACACACTCTCTCACACACACACACACACACTCTCTCACACACACACACACTCTCTCTCTCACACACACACACACGCTCTCTCTCACACACACTCTCTCACACACACACACACTCTC